AATGTCGTGCACACATTACAAGGGTATAGTGTGTCGCTCTTTTGAGCAGAATACTAAATACGTGGGTGCACGAGACTGAATCCGATTTGTTGAAAGTTTAGAAGCAAATTGATCAACGACTTTTTAAAATAAAATATAAGATTATTCCATTAACTCGGGTAAATTAATGTGAAAATAAATTTGCTCATTTGGTACGGTGCAATGTGAATATTTTAAAAAAATCAAGAAAGATATGTGTCATGCGTGCGCGCGCACACACACACACACACGCACCACACACACACACACACACACACACACACACACACACACACACACACACACACACACACAACACACACACACACACACACACACACACACACACACACACACACACACACACACACACAACACACACACACACACACACACACACCACACACCACCACACACACACACACACACACACACACACACACACACACACACAAACACACACACAACACACACACACACACACGCACGCACGCACACGCACACACACATACATACACACACTACACACACACACACACACACACACACACGACGCACGCACGCACGCACGCACGCACGCACGCACGCACACACACACACACACACACACAACACACACACACACACACACACACACACACATATATATATATATATATATATATCAGGAGTTAATAATGACAAATTTGACAAATAATGACAAATAATGACAATATTTGTCATTATTAACCCCTGATATAGGCCTATATATATATATATATATATATATATAATACATTTGTAAAATGTATATAAATACATTGCGTTACATAGCAGACGCACACACATACACGCGCAGTCTGTCTTGCTAACCATATAATGAGTAGTTTCTTTTACAGCAACTACTAACATGCAGCCATTGCTGAACCATATTGGCTTTATACTTTGTTATATATTACACGCACGGGGGTTGCACAGCTATAATTTGGCAACATGCCTGATGATCTGACACGTTTGTGGGTGTTAGTTGTATTCGCATCTTTAACCCCTCTTTCTGGCACAGAAGCATGTGCATCAGGAGTTAATGAAGACAAATGAATACATGAACAAATGAAGACAAATGAAGACATGAACAAATGAAGACAAATGAAGACATGAAGTTTGTCTTCATTAAATTGACTACGTCACGAATTTTCTATGGTAAAATTTGTAAAATGTTTGTTGCCATTATTTTACATTAAAAGTAAAAACTAACGGGACTAAACGTATCGTCAAATTCTTACCTGATAAGATTGTTTCTCAACTAGATAAAAATCCAAAAAATTGATTTGATATTAGTGTTCCTGACATTAATTGCTTGATATGGGCTATGTATGAGTAACGAGTGTATGTTCACATCGAACAATATAGTAAAATAAGAAGTATAATGCAGTAATTTAACCATAAAAGGTGAACAGAATTACTTATATTTTGTGAAAAAGTGGAAATATTTTTTTACTATTTACGGTGACGTAATTACTTTAACTCCTGGTCCTGGTCCGATGAAGTGGAAACGCGCGCGTAATATAAGGATTATAACGTACATGCACATCAGGGGCCCGTTGTCAGAAACAAAATTAGTCTTAACATAAGTCTTAACATTAACTTCCACTCGTAAACCGTTGTCAGAAACATCGTAAAGTTAATGCTAATGTTAATGCTACGATAACACTTACGACTAATGTTAATGTTACGATAACACTTACGACTAATGTTAATGCTACGATAACACTTACGACTAATGTTAATGTTACGAGAGTAGCGTTGACAGAAACACATCGTAGCTGCGAGCAAACTCACGATAACAGGAACTTCATAATTTCATGTCACAAGGCTGCTGATTAGATGAGAATCGATCACAAAATTCAAATTCATACACATTTATTGTACATCACAATAATTTATGCATATTATGATGGCTAACCACATATAGATAATATTTGATGAAAAACGACGTGGTCATGAATTTATTCTGCACAACAAGACAAAATTAATTCTCAGACTGTAGCACGAGACGCGAGAGTCGTGGCAAGTTGCAAAGTAGTTATAACAAGAGAACAAATGTCATACGCCATTTTGTAAATGTTTTGTTTTCTTTTATAATCGGTAGATAATTAATTATTTTGACGTGATTTTCAAGAAAAACACACATTTTATTCATTATTATAAAATATAATATCACAATAATTGTAATTTGTAGTGTAAATGTGTTATTTTCATCTTAATATTAAAGTTACGAGAGGGTCTGGGCTCTCGTAATGTTAAGAGAATATTTTCGAGAATTTTTAATTCTCGCAACTTTGCGATGTTTCTCTCAACGGTTTACGAGTTAATGTTAAGACTAATGTTAAGACTAATTTTGTTTCTGAAAACGGGCCCCTGATGTGCATGTAAGTTATAATCCTTATATTACGCGCGCGTTTCCACTTCATCGCATTAACTTACAACTTATCAACTCATTAGGGGTTTCGCTTCTATTGATTTTACGCCAGCGAAAGGCGCATCCAGTTACTGTTTAAACCTCCGTATAACGACTAGTTTAAAACGACCTGTGCTGCTTTTAAAAATCCAAGTGACATGCCGTCTAGTCCCATAAAAGATCAGCAAAACAACTCATTATAATTCTAATGCCCGCGCGTGTGGTCGAAGCTTGGTGTTCTCTCACAAAACCTTGCCCCGGCATAACCTGAATCGAACTTTAGAGTAATCATTGAAGTAATCATCAGAATGATTATTCCAAGATCGAACCGACGCACCAGGGACACGTGCCGGTTTCGTGTCTCGTTAAACGTGCTTGGTCGTTTCACTGTCTTTGTCTGCCTGTCTCTGTATTCTATCAGGCCTTCCCGATCCCAACGTGGATACATGGGAAACTCACACGCGCGATATACGCGACATGCCATGCCACACACCGCGTCAATCTCGGTAACGAACCTTGACATGAACGGGCTGAGATATAATCACATGACGTACGCAGGCGCGCACGTACGCGCTCACGAAGTTAATGCACACACACGAGTACGCATGCACACACACACACACACACACACACACACACACACACACACACACACACACACACACACACACACACACACACACACACACACACCACACACAGGTACGAATGCATGCGCGAATGCAGAGGCGCAGGTGTGTATACACACAGCGTGAACATGCATGTGAATATGTTGTCCTTGAATTAGGCCGGCGAGTGCGCTGGCTCAAGGCACCTTTGTAACGGCTAGCCAAAATGAGGCAATTTCTATCACAGTACTTCCCATTATTCGCGAATAGATGTCCACTGCATTACAATTAACTGGCTACGTGTAACAATTGTTAGTTGCCAATTTTCGCCACAGTCTAGATTACCGTTTATTGGCCGCGAGTTGATAATGATTGACGCAGTATGCGCCAACTGCTCCACATGTAGAATGATGTATACGTTATTATTATTATTATTATTATTATTATTGTTATTATTATTATTATTATTATTATTATTATTATAAGTAGGTATACTATTAATCAATAGAACGGGAGGTTTCCAAATCTTACGCTGGTTGGGCTCGGGCACGCGCCTATTTCTATGGATGCATGCTCGGAAGCACACGCGCGCACACACGAGCGCGTGTAATGAAGCGAATTCAGCCATACTTATTTATAAGAATTTACACCGGCAGATTCGGTGACAGGGACTGGCCTCGGGCGACTAATCACTCACCTGCCTCATTAGTGCCAAGGCAGTAGGTCAGTGGTCACTTGCCCCCCCCCCCTATCGAAAGTAAAGAACGCGATCCATGTTATGTGGACGAAACGCGTGACATACTTAAGTCACGTGGTTCGGCCTGTAGCGAATGACTACACTAACTTCTTTGTTTATTTTACATCTAAATGGTTTAATTATTTTTTCTTCATATCAAGCTCCAGCGGATCACACACGTTCTTCTTTATTCTCTTATTTTCTGCCTATGTCGTTTTATGTAACGTAACGAACGAACGTATCTTAACGAACGAACGTATCTTAACGAACGAACGTATCTTAACGAACGAACGTATCTTAACGAACGAACGTATCTTAACAAACGAACGTATCTTAACGAACGAACGCACGTATCTTAACGAACGAACGCACGTATCTTAACGAACGGTTAATCTGAAACAAATTCAAAGAGCACATTTACTATTTACCGTGTGTGCTATGCTGTATGTGTAGCTCGCTATGGACAACAAACTTTCTGGTAAATACAATTCAAATACACGTACGGCAATCACAGCCGAATCTGCTACTATTAATTTAGAAAGACATTAATAATTATTTATAAACTCAAATACCTTACGGTACCACGCTGGGTTCTTTAGGGTTTTAGAAGCACATTAAAATTCGCGTCTTCAACGGTAAGCCACAATGGCGAAAAGAGCGCGCGCGTCACATCTCTTAGCAACTAGCCGGTATCAATGCGCTGCTGCATAAAGTAGTGCACCGCGTAACCGCGTAGGGGCAGGAGTTGTCACCAACATCCCGGCCCCGATGAGGCTATCAGCACTCATTTCCTAACTAAATGGTGACAACAGCAACTCGTTTATACAGTTCATGGGCACAGCTAAGGTCATCCTCTTAGTCTATGTCGCTTAAATCACACTAGCTCCGCTTCAAGTAGGCACAGCTTGTGCACAGGTCTCGTGTACAGTCCGTTCTGTGTCTTGACTTGCACAGACCTGACCAATCCATCACCGGATGGGTAAGTCTGGGTGATAAGCCCCAGAGGCCACCGGTAATGTGGAGTAGTCTTATTCACGAAAAGCACCAAGTCTCCCTTCTGGAAATTCCTCTCGCGCTTCAGCCACTTCTGCCTCTCCTGTAGGATGGACAGATACTCCTTAATCCACCTGGTCCAAAATACGTCCGCTAAGTACTGGACTTGGCGCCATCTCTGTCTATAAGTGTCCTGCTGAACAAACTTTCAGGGTGGTAAGTCTGGCCCCGATCTCAGCAGCAGCAGGTGGTTCGGTTTTAAAGGTGCTGGGTCGTTAGGGTCGTCTGCGAGCTTCGTTAGTGGTCTACCATTGACAATACCTTCAACTATGCAGAATAAAGTTGATAGTCTCTCGTGGTCGATGGTTTGCTGGCTGACGATGCCTGAGAGGACAGCTCGGACGGTTCGGATTTGACTTTTCCATACTTCACCCATATGGGAAGCTGCTGGTGGGTTTAATATCCACTGTACGTCTTGTTGTAGTAGGTAGTCGGCTATCTTCTGCTGATTCCACTCCTTTATGGCTTCATGTAACTCCTGCTTAGCTCCAACGAAGTTGGTTCCATTATCGGATCTGATGGTCTTTGGGTTCCCTCGTCGTGCAATAAATCGTTGTAGTGCGCTGATGAACAAATCAGTGTCAAGGCTGCAAGCAACCTCAAGGTGCACTGATCGAGTGACTAGGTACGTGAATAGGCACCCATATCTCTTCACCTTGGTTTTCCTAGCTCTCTTCACCTTGAGTGGGCCGAAATAGTCAACACCCACTTTGGTGAATGGTGGCTGATTTGGGGTAACTCTATCTATGGGTAGGTCTGCCATGTATTGCACACTAGGTGGTTGCTTCCTCTTCTTGCAGGGGATGTAGTTTTTAACGGCTCGTTTCACCGACACTCGGCCCTTTATGATCCAGTAGTTTTGTCTAATTTCCACTAAGACTCTCTCGACACCAGCATGACCAGTTATCTTGTGGAAATGTTTGATGATCAGCTTAGTCACGTGATGATCTGGAGGCAGAATGGCACGATGTTTGGCTGAGTCAGGAAGTGGTGCATTCGACAGGCGGCCACCGACTCTTAACATGTCATCCGATGATATCACGGGAGAGAGCTTCTCTAGTTGTTGTAGCTTCGTAATGTCAGTGTGCCAGCTTCACTGCATGTAGACTATAATAGCTTGTTCAGCTCTCTGGATTTCTTTCCCTGTGACTGGTTCAGTACGATTGACATCTGACTTCTTTCTCAGAATGTCTTTCACACGAAGGATAATAGCTACAGCTTGCTTTAGCTCATGCCACGACGAAAACCTTTCAAACAGTTGGTCGACCGTCGTCTTGGTCGCTTTAGCTTCTGTAGCTGTAGTTAAGTAAATCTCCCTAGCCTTCTTGATCTCTGCAGCGGTAGGTATGTCTCCTAAGTCAGGTTGGGCTGGCCATAGCTCCTCCTTGCTCCACAGGAAGGTAGGACCTTGCGTCCAGCGTTCATCAGTTATCATCTCGTCAGCTGACATACCCCTAGAGATATCATATGCAGGATTGTTGTTAGTATCAACGTGTCTCCATTGGCTCGACGAAGAACCTTCATGTATCTGTGCCACTCTGTTCGCTACAAACGTCTGGAATCTCTTTTCCTCGCTTCGCAAGTAGTGCAGAACTATAGTACTATCTGTCCAGAACACAGATTCTGGCAGAGTGTACTCGAGGTGCTTCCTACAAGCCTGATCGAGCTTTACAGCAACTACGGCTGCTGACAACTCTAGCCTTGGAATGGTTGTTGGCTTTATCGGTGCTAGCCTGCTCTTTGCCATCACTAAGCAGCAATGAATCCTGTCAGATGCATCCACCATGCGCAAGTACGTAACTGCACCAAATCCTTTCTCTGACGCATTGCTGAAGTGGTGTAGCTGAAATGCGACTGGCGCCTCTAATCTGTCGCTTGGCTTCAGACATCTTGGAACTTTAAAGTCTGCTATCTTTGGGAGATCTTGAAGCCATCTTATCCATTGATCCGCGACATACTTGGGTATCGCTTCATCCCAGTCTAGCTTCTGTCTGCACAGTTCTTGGAACAATATCTTCGCTCGCATGATGAAAGGTCCAACGAATCCTAACGGGTCATACACTGTACTTGTAAAGCTCAACATTCCTCTCTTGGTGCTAGGAACATCCTTCACGGATACGTCGTAACCGAACTGGTCGGTCTCTACTCTCCACAGCACACCGAGGGCTCTCTCGGCAGGCAGACACTCTTCCTCTAAGTCCAAGCTTGCTGCTGCCTTAGCCCACTCCGTCTCTGGTAGTGACATCATAACTCTGCGTGAGTTACTGATAAACTTGGTGAGTCTGAATCCTCCCAGTGAGAGAAGCTCACACAGCTGCTTTATCAGTCTCACTGCCTCTTCTTCCGAGACAACGGACTTTAAGCAGTCATCGACGTAGAAATTCTTGTCCACCGTCTGCACAGTTTTTACGTCGAAGTTATCCTTGTTGTCCTCTGCCGTGCGTTTAAGGGCAAAGTTGGCGCAGCTAGGGCTCCATAGCCCTCCAAACAGATGAGAAGTCATTCTGTAAGTCTTGGGTTGTTTGGTGATGTCGCCGCCCTCCCACCAAAGGAAACGTAGACAGTCCCGGTCCTCGGGGTGCACCTTCACCTGCATAAACATTCCCTCAATATCTGACATAAATGCTATAGGTTCCTGTCTAAATCTGAGCATCACGGCGATCAGCTTGTTCATAAGATCAGGTCCCTGGTGGATTAGATCGTTGAGCGAGACGCCCTGGTAAGGGGCAGAACAGTCGTACACAACTCTGACTTTCCCTGGCTTCCGTGGATGGATCACAGGGTGATGAGGCAGGTACCAGATAGCTTCTTTACGATGGTCCAAGGCCAGCTGCTCGCGAGGCACCTCTTCAGCATGCCCCTTTTCAACAGAATCCTGGATGCCTTAAACATACTTCTCCCGCAGTTCAATGTCATTGGACAGTCTCTTTCCAAGCAAATCAAGCCTGTGCTTAGCCATGCTGTAGTTGTTTAGCATCTGAGGCGGTCTCTGCTTAAATGGGATCCCCAGTGAGTAATGTGGACCCTCACGTCGGATTGAGCTTTCCCACTCAGAAATAACTTTCCTGTCACTCACAGACAGAGCAGTCTCTTCTTTGTACAACGGGTCATCTAACTTCCAGAATCTCTCCACCTGTTTCTCCAGGGACAATGTCGAGTTGACAAAGTAAGTGCTAGCTTTCTTGGGTTTAAATTTCTTGGTAGGGCCGAACATAGCCCATCCTAGTGGAGTTCTTGTTGCAATTGGCTCCCCTTCCTTACCAGAACGAGTCTCTACGTCGATAAGAAGGTGTGCATGATCAGAGCCAATTATCAAATCCACTTGGGAAACGTCCACATTCACCAGGGTGACGTCTCTCAGATGTAGCATGTGTCTGATATCTGATGAAGTCACACGGTTGTCTAAGCTCACATTCAGTTTCTCACGGGAGATTACGTCGGTGAGTCTGAACGTCTTGCCGCTGTTTAACGCTCCCACCTCTAGATCTACAACCGTTCCTCGACATGGTCTCCATGAAGAGTGGTTAGCTCCATAATTCCAGGACGGCCAAGAACATTTAGCTTGGTTCTCAATCTATCGGTGCACACCGTTGAATTGGAACACCTATCTAAGAGCGCATATGTCTCTGTCTGCTCCCTGCGTCCAGGGTCCTGAATGGTGACAGGGATAATGGGCATGCCAATTGTGCCCTGTCCTGCACCAGCGAAGGCACACCTGACGTCCATGTTAGGATGGGACTTAATTGTTCCTACGGGCTGGTTGTTAGCTGGGAACGTGCTACCTCTTGTAGTCACGGGTTCAGCAGCAAGGGTATCTGTAGCTGTCTGGTGGTTAGTCAGGTGCAGCCACCTGTTGTGTCTTTGACCACACACCCAGGAACGTTACACGTCCACTTCTTCTGACAGTCTCTGCCGAAATGCCCTGCTTGGAAACAATTCACACACAGCTTCTTTATCAGAACAAAGCTGTGTCTGTCTTTAACGGCAAGCTCTCTAAATCGGTCGCATTGGTTGAGGTAATGGGTATCCTCACACATAGGGCATTTGGGTACATACTTGGGAATACCTCCTCTTATGATAGACCTCTCATGTGTTCTCTCTATAGGTTTAGCCTTGGCGTCAGACGAGAAAGCAGCATTCCTTCTTCTCTGCTGTTTTAAATCAACGCATTTATCTCTAGGCTGCCTCAGGGTGGATTTCTGAAGATTGCCGAACACAGGGTCGCTCTCTTCATCCACTACTCTGTCTACAAATGATATTATATCATCCGGGTTCGGTATGCGTTTCCTACTTTTAATATAAAAGTTTATTTTCCTCCAACTGTTTCTGACATGCTCAGGTAATTTCTCAACTGCACAGAGGCTGGACCTTGTCTCTAGCTCGTTAAGATAGTTCATTGATGACAAGATCTCTTTACATGTACGGAGGTCATCAGCAAACACTCTCATGTCTCCCATGTCTCTCAGTTGAGGTCTCTGCAACACCTTATCCAGCCACGCTTGAGCAATCACATCTTCATTACCATACCTCTCATTCAACAATCTAAGGGGTAGCTTGTACCTTTCACAAGGCTCTTTAACGAGGCAACATTCCAACAGGTTTCTTGGCTGGCCAACGCTGTGTTGTATCAAAACGTTTAATTTTGTGGCGCTATCTAGAGTCTTTCCTTCCATTGTATTGTCGAACGACCTCACGAAGGGGTAGTACTTAGGAGGGTCTCTGTTGAATTTTAGAATTTCTATCTTGGGAGCCGTAACGCTGTCTATGACCGACTGATTCTGACTCCGGGTCTCCTCCATTAAAAACTTTAGTGCGCTTACAAACGTCTAAGTGGCATCCTGCGCAGGAGTGTCCGACGCGGAATCTTTTGAATGTGAAACGTCTCTGTACTAGACTTTGCCTTTGGAGTATGAAAGTCTTCATCAGCATAGGCAGGCTGGAGGGAAGTAGACTGCACTGTCGGCTTTCCTACTGGCTTAAACTTAGACCCGACCTCTTGTTCGAACTTCTTCGTCTCCATCTCCAATTTCATCATTCCCAGCTTGTTTTGATACTGTTTACGTTGCATCATTAGTTCCTGTTCCCTATGAAGCGCCGCTAGCTCCTTCTCCTGCTTTTGTTTGCGCAGCAAAAGCTCGTATGTTCTTTGCTGCTTTAACTTATCCTTCTCTAGGTTTGCGATTTGTCTCTCCAGTAACTTTACCGAGTCATGCTCATACTCGCCATCGTCGTCCCCATTACTATCGGGTGTAGTCGGAGCATTATCTTGGTCAAGCATTGGTTCAGGTTTAAGCAAGGTAGTTTCTGGTTCATCAACTTCCTCAGCCTCCTCATACAATACATCAGCAATCCAATGTGTGACAGTATCTACAAAACTATTGGCCTCGGCCAGGAACTTTTTACGATATTTATTCGATTCGGCAATATCAGCTTGATCGGTTAGCCCCTGTTGGTAGGATGCGTGAGCAGCCATAAAGGTTTGCACGGACACTTCAAAGTCAACCTGAAGGTCTTGCACATTGTCATTGTTCTGCATCAGAGTAGTTCCCTGATTTATAAGTCTCGTAGCAGCACCCTTAGCCTTTCCTCGTTTCTTCTTGAGGTCAGCTGTCTCAGCTTCAGCAGCTGCAGCCTGATCCTCGTCACACGGCATCTCTGGTCATCGTTGTTGTTGTTGTTGTTGTTGTTGTTGTTGTTGTTGTTGTTGTTGTTGTTGTTGTTGTTATCTCCACGATATCTCTAAGTCCGTATCGTGATTAACTTTAATGTAGCGAATGACTACACTAACTTCTTTGTTTATTTTACATCTAAATGGTTTTTTTCATATCAAGCTCCAGCGGATCACACACGTTCTTCTTTATTCTCTTATTTTCTGCCTATGTTGTCTTATGTAACGTAACGAACGAACGTATCTTAACAAACGAACGTAATTTAACGAACGAACGCACGTATCTTAACGAACGCACGCACGTATCTTAACGAACGCACGCACGTATCTTAACGAACGGTTAATTTAAAACAAATTTAA